GCTTTCTTTCTCCCTGCAGCGGGTTTCAGTAGCAGGATGCAACGGACTCAACCGTACTCGGCAAACTGTCCAGAGGAGCCCAACATGGCCAGGTAACCTCTGAGACCCTGGAGACCTGCTTTAGACCTGGCCTTGGGGTAGGGGTGGGGGGGGTCCCAGGAGCCCGGACCCCACCCCCGCTCTTTCCTCGAACCCCACAGGCCCCCAGGGTGCTGTGCACCGCTGCTGTAAGGAGCAGAGTGCTGGAAAGGCCGGCTGGGGGCATCCTCCCTCTCCGGGAGAGACCAGAACTATCGATACGTTTGTATATTGGGGGCGGGGGGCGGGGAGGGAGGGAGAGCCCGCGGAGTAGCCCAGCTTCGCAGACATTAAAAGCCTGAGTCTCAGGCTCGGCAAAGTCCGCCTCGGTGGCTGCGCGCGCTCGGGCCGCGGAGGGGCGTCGTGCGGGAGGGGGCGGGGTGCGCGGCGCGCCCACTGGCTGGGGCTCCGGGGCCGCCAGCCAATCCGGCCAGGGGTCGCGATTTTCCGGAGGGGGTGCGACCGGCCCCAGCAGACGGCAGAGGCACCGGACAGCCGCAAGCACAACCGATCCAGTGGCCCGCCCACGAGGTATGCTGAGGGCGGGCCGGGCGGGGTCTCGGGTGGGGGCCGGGAGCTGGGGGCGGGCCGGGCCGAGGGGCGTCTCCTGGGCCCCAGCAGCCCCCTCCTGCTCCGCAGGAGCTGCCTCTTCGGTTTATGTCGGAAGTCCGAGCGCAGAAGCCCCCCCCGGGGAAATGGTGGACGCCGCCCTTCGACCCGCGATTCCCCAACCAGAACCAGACCCGTAACTGCTACCAGAACTTCCTGGGTGAGACCCGGTGGGCCACGTTTGGAGGGAGCAGGGTGCGTGACCGGGGCAAGCAGGAGCGGCGAGCCCCACCTGAAGGCCCCGGAGACCGTTTGGGCGGGAGGGGGGCGCGGGCCGCGGTCGGAAAGGGCAGGGCCTGGGCTGATGGGGGCGGGACCGAGCCGCGAGGGGCGGGGCTAGGGGCCAGGGGCGGAGCCTGGCCGGGAGAGCCCTGCCGACGGGGCGGGGCCTGTCTGTCTGGGCGTGGCTTCCTCATGGCCCCGCCCCCTGCGCCGCAGACTACCACCGCTGCCAGAAGACCATGAAGCGCCGCGGGAAGAGCGCGCAGCCCTGCGAGTACTATTTCCGCGTGTACCACTCACTGTGCCCCATCAGCTGGGTAAGCGGGCAGAGGGGCGCGCAGCGGGAGTGGGGGAGGGCTCGGGCCGAGGCTGAGCCGGCGCCCCGCCCCTGCCTTCCTGCTGCGCAGGTGCAGCGCTGGAACGACCAGATCAAAGAAGGCACCTTCGCCGGCAAAATCTAACCGTTGGAGCGCTGCTTCCTCCAGGGGATCGCCCCCGTAGCCCCGCATCTTCTCGTCTTGCGGAGACCTGGGCTCGGTTACCCACCCCACCCCGATCTCTAAGCCGTAAATAAAGTTATGTTGTTGCTGATGTTTCTTCTTAATGCCTGGCCGGTGATGCGTGGGCACTGGGGGTCCTCCTTGTGCCTGGGTGGTGGCTAACGCCGCTTTTTCTGATAAGCGGGGTGGGGGCAGGAGCTGCTCCGTTAGGTGGAGGGAGGGCAGTTAAGGCCTGAGGTGGGAAGGTAGAATCAAGCCGAAGGCCTCCCGCCCCCTCTGACTTCGTTCCTGCAGGTAGGGGCCTCCTTTTTTATTTTTATTTTTTGAGACAGAGTCTCACTCTGTTGCCCGGGCTAGAGTGCCGTGGCATCAGCCTAGCTCACAGAAACCTCAAACTCCTGGGCTCAAGCGATCCTCCTGACTCAGCCTCCCAAGTTGTTGGGACTACAGGCATACGCCACCATGCCCTGCTAATTTTTTCTATAGTTTTAGTTGTCCAGCTAATTTCTTTCTATGTTTTTAGTAGAGACAGGGTCTCACTCTTGCTCAGGCTGATCTCAAACTCCTGAGCTCAAACAATCCTCTTGCCTTGGCCTCCCAGAGTGTTAGGATTACAGGCGTGAGCCACCGCTCCCAGCCCCTGCAGGTAGGGGCGTCTTCTTGACAGCTGCCAGCCAGGCCTGGGCCGCAGATGCCCACTCTCTCCCACGCAGAGGGCTCCAGGGTGCCTTTGCCTCTCAATCCCCACACCTACCTGTCCCCAAGTCTTTTCCACCCTCCACTGTCCCTGCCCTGTCTCCCCAGCCTCCTCCCCTACCCCACCCCCATCCATCCCATCTCAGGTCCTGAGGGGTCTTCTTTGTACCACCCAGCACCGACCGCCTCCACTTTCTGGTCTCTCCACCACTCTCCATCGTGCGCGGCATCCCACCTGGCTCCACTTCCCTCCCAGAACATCAAGGTCCCCATCACATGAGACCACTTACTCCCCACAGGGTCCCCTGGATCCCTCACTCCACACCTGTCAACACCTACGTCCAGGGCCAGAGCAGCCCCCCTCCTCTCCCAGGTGACAGGCCAGCTCCCCGGTCCCATACGCATCCTGTCTTCCCATGACACACATCACCCAGCCTCTCCCTGTGGCCCTTTCAAACTGCGAGCGCCTTGAGGACGCTCAAAGCCCCTCTGATTTATCCTTCCCTCCTTCCCCATCCAGTGGCGACAACACTGAGCTGCATTCTGATTCCCGATGTCCCTTGAAGTGCTACCTCTCCCCAGGATGAGGAGTGAGCCTTGACAGAGCCAGGGGTGGGGAAGGGGAAGGGTTCTAGCCTGGTCCTATGGAGGACTGGCCAGGAGACCAGTCTGCCAGGCCCAGTTGTTTCCTGCCTGAGGCTACCAGCCTCCTTGGCTCCACCTGCAGCAGCAGAAACAGTCCTGTGAGGCCCTGTTCAACCCCAGAGTTCAGAGTTGACTGTGACTAATCATGACAACTTGCTGGGTAACCCTGGACGAGCCTTTTGACCTGTGTGAACCTCAGGGTTCCCCAGCTGTAAATGGAGATAGCTCAGAGTCCCGTTATCAGGAGCGGTGGGGTGGGAGGGGCTGGGTGAGCTCAGAGGGCTGGCTCTGCCCCATGGTGACCCGTCCACCACCTGCCCTCCGTGCTGCCCACCCCACCCAACCCAGGGCACACTCAGGCCATCTCCCAGGATACCTCCTCCTCCGTGATCTTGGCTTCCAGGCTCCCTGTCTCTGACCAGGACCCAAGAGGCAGGGTGCGGGTGAGGGTGCAGGGAGTGGGCTTGGCTACAGGAGGGCCCCCTGTTCATGCAACACCTCCAGAGTCTCTGATGATGCCTGCGCAGAGGCTGCGCTGCTGCAGGAGTGAAAGCTTGTAGCAGGCAGGGCCCTCTCTGAGTCACAGAATGGGGCTAAAGACTGCCTTAGGACTCAGTGAGGTCACCCAGATAGCCACCTGTGCATGGGGCCCCTCACCTGTGCAGCCATGCCAGTCTCCTGACCTCCCGAGTCCAGAGCCTGGAGCCTGCCTTTGCCCTATTGACCAGCCTTCCCCTTCCTTCCTCTCTGGGCCCACGATCCTGCCCACCACTGTCACTTGAGGAGTGTGACGCTTCCAGCTTTTATCCCAGTGCATTCTTACACACCTGGCCGCTCCTGTAGCCACCACTGCCCAAGGATGCCTGAGCCAAGGACAGGGCCAGACCCACCTGCCTCCAGCCTGGTGGACCGTCACCACCCAAAACTCTGAATACCTCTCCCATGGCTCCTCGGCCAGCCTTCCCTACTGGTGTTCACAGCAGCCACCCACTGAGACCCCCAATGCCAGCCTCACTGTCACCAGCAGCCTCCCAGGTCAGAGAAAGCCCAGGCAATTGACTGCTCCTGCCACCACCCCAGCACCTGCATCCTTACTCTCCTGAATGCCCCTCTCCCTCCGCTTTTCCTCTTCTTCCTTCTCCCCCCCCTCCTCCATCCAGCACCTTCTTTCCCCAGAAGTCTCTCCTCCTTCCTCCCAGCCTGAACACATGCTCAGGTACTTCCCAGGCAGGACCACAAAACCAGATGCTGCAGTTCATCCTTTGCTCCATGAACTCTGGAAGCAGCCTGCCCTTTCCTCCTACCTCCCCCAGTTCCTCCAGCTCCCTCTCTACCAGGGCGGAGAAGGGGTTCCTAGTACATGCAGCCTGGCCTGGCCACCCACAGGGTAAGCTTGCTCAGTGCCCAGGCTGATGACATGGAGGCAATATACCGGCTGCAGCCTGTGGCTGCTCCAGAGATGGCTCTGCAGCTCCGCTTCTCTGTGCTGAATGTGCCCAAGGGACTTGGTGAGCTGGCACCAGGGCTGTCAGCTGTTGTTATTTCCTTCTGTAAGAGAGGGTTGCTATGAGAGTTAAGAGACCATGGCAAAATTAAGATATGGGATTAGACCTGAAGCAATGAGGTTCATTGTCCTGGTCTCACACTCAGAGCAAAGGCTGAAGCCTAAGATGACCCAGCTGACCCACCTGACACCCCCCAGTCAGCACCACCTCCCCAGACCAGGCTTTGCCGGCCCCACCCCCATTTTGGCTGAGGTGTGGGAGGTCATCTGATTGACAAGTGAAGGAAGGGCCTCCAAGTCCCTGTATGGCCTTGGGCAAGTCACTCTGCTTCGCCTGACCTCAGTTACCTCATCTGGAAAGAGGGGAGAATCCTTCCCCACAAGACACAATGGGTCTGAAGACTTTTATTAGGTTGGTGTAAAAGTAATTGCGGTTTCAGATGTGAATTTTAAATCATTATAACTAGGCTCAGACACATCTTTATTAATCAAAATAGGAACCATTATAATCAACACATTTTTGCCAACGAGAAATAAGTTTGTTTATTCCTGTAGCATAAATATCCGTGCTTTGGGATTCGACAAACACTTGGAAAGCATTTTCTGCATCCTGCTGGTTGTAGAAGTGTTTTCCCTGCAAAAAATTGTCGAGATGTTTGAAGTAGTTGGTTGGCGAGAGGTCAGGTAAATATGGCAAAACTTTGTAGCCCAATTTGTTCAACTTTTGGAGTGTTGGTTGTGTGAAGTGCAGTTGGGCATTGTAGTGAAGAATTGGGCCCTTTCTGTTGACCAATGCCGGCTGCAGGTGTTGCAGTTTTGGGTGCATCTCATCGATTTGCTGAACATACTTCTCAGATGGAATGGTTTTGCTAGGATTCAGAAAGCTGTAGTGGATCAGACCAGCAGCAGACCACCAAACAGTGACCATGACCTTTTTCTGGTGCAAGTTTGGCTTTGGGAAGTGTTTTGGAGCTTCTTCTCAGTCCAACCACTGAGCTGGTCATCACTGCCTGTCGTATAAAATCCACTTTTCCTTGCACAGTCACAATCCAATCAACAAACGGTTCATTGTTATGTACAATAAGAGAAGACAACACTTCCAATCCAGGATTTTTTTTTTTTTTTTTGAGACAGAGTCTCACTGTGTTGCCTGGTCTAGAGTGCCGTGGTGTCAACCTAGCTCACAGCAACCTCCAACTCCTGGGCTCTAGTGATCCTTCTGCCTCAGCTTCCTGAGAAAGGAATGCGCCACCATGCTCAGCTAATTTTTTCTACATATATTTTTAGTTGGCCAATTAATTCTTTCTATTTTTAGTAGAGACGGGGTCTTGCTCTAGCTCAGGCTGGTTTCGAACTCCTAACCTTGAGCGATCTTCCCGCCTCGGCCTTCCAGAGTGCCAGGATTATAGGCGTAAGCCACCGCACCCGACCAAACGAGGATTTTTTTGATTTTTGGTCAGCTCGAGGCACCAACTTATCGAGCTTTTTCACCTTTCCAATTTGCTTCAAATGACAGTAGAATAAACGGTCAACATCGAGGTCTTCAGCAACTTCTGTGTAGTTCTAAGAGGATCAGCTCTGATGACTGCTCTCAATTGGTTGTTGTCAACTCCCAATGGCCAGCCACTGCACTCTTCATCTTCAAGGCTTTCGTCTCCTTTTGAAAACTTCATTAGCAGTGCCTGGACCAAATGCGTTGTTGATATTGCGAATTGTCTCCGCTGCTTTATGACCCGAATAAGAAAATCACTCAAATTTGCTTTTTGTCTAACATCATTTCCATAGCCTAAAATAAATATCAAATAAACACCAAGTGATGCAATTAGCAAAAAAAACTTAAAGCAAGAGATGCATATTGAAATGATGTATAACATGACCACATTTATTTTAGAATGTATTCCAATATCAAATGGCAAGTTTCAACAATGCCAAAACCGCAATTACTTTTGCACCAACCCAAGCAGTTTGAGCAGTGATGTGGCTCCTACTTCAGCACTCCAGTCCCCAGAACCCGCTGCCCTTCACCTGCCCCAAGTCCTCTCCAGACAGCTCTTGGGGCCCAAGGCCTGTGCGGCTGCCCCATCTCCCCAGCACGGCTGAGGGCCTCCAGACAGCCCCATAAGACATATGCCAAAACAAAGCAATTCCAAAGGTGCTCCTTATAACAAGGTTTTAATAAAATAAAATAAAAAGTTCAAGTGCTTCCAACCCCCAACATACCCCTTTCTGGTGTGGGGGAGGGGAGGGCGCCCCCACCCCAGTAGCACCAGGGATAGCACCATGAGAAAGACGAGGTCGCACCCGGCCTCCCTGAGACCCTTCGGGGGCAGTGAGGAGAACATGTCCCCCAGACAGCCCCCACCTTCCCCTACCTTAGACAGTTGCAGAGCCGAGAGCAAACCCACTCCCCTCCATGGGGGCAGATTTAGGGAGTGCCACCCCCAAGTCAGTTCTACCTCCTCCTGAGGCCTGGGCTTCTGGGGAGATGCCATGGGGTGGCCCCCACCCCCTTATGGCTTTGCTCCCTGGGGAGGAAGGGGCTGAGAGAGGGGATGGCTCCTGCAGTCTTGAGGCTGGGCAGGGGTGGGGAGGGCAGCAAATGGCCAGGGCTCCCTGTGGGGTGAGGGTGGCTCAGGGGTCAGCAGTCACAAAGGGTCAGGGATCAGATCCCTGGGGGTGTCCAAACCAACCCCCGCCCAGGGCTAGAGCTGTGCTGAGGTCAAGGGTCAGCTCCCTCCAGAGGTCCAAGGGCTTTTTCTGGAGGTAGGGGGAGCTAGGAGAGAGCTCCCTCTCTCCTGCCCAGGCTCCCCCACCCCGAGTCCAGCCCATCACAGCCCTTCTTCATTGACATCCAGGTCGATGGAGCCATGGCTGACCACCAGCCGCAGGCGCTTGGGCGGGGAGAATGGGGTGAAGGCGAGGGCCTGTTTGGGGACCAGGATGGGACCTGGGGTGCTAGTGGGGGCAGGGGTGGCTAGTGGGGCCGGGGCCAGGCGGCTGAGGTCCACACGCACCACATAAGGCAGCCCATAGCGCCGGGCCCAGTGCCAGTCCTGCTGGGGGGCCCAGCGGGCACGGGGAGGCTGGCCCAGGGCCACCAAGGCCTCTGCCTGCAGGCGGCAGTGGGGGCCACAGCCTCCCCATCGGTGCAGGGAGACACGGGCATGGGGGATGGGGGGTGCTGGGGCCTGCCGGGGCCGGGGGCGTCGGCGTTTCCGGGGGTGCACTCGGGGCTGGGGCTGAGGCAGCCACTGGAGCCACAGGGGCAAGCTGTCTGGGCGGGTGCCACAAGGTGGCAGGTGCAGGGGCTGGCAGGCAGCTGTGAGGGTGGGGAGAAGAGGAGACAAAGGAGAGGCCACATCAGCAGGGCCTAGCTGGCCCTCCTCTGGACAAGGAGACAGTTCTGTGCTGTGCTCCTCAGAGGAGGAAGATGCAAGGAGATATGCTTACCAGCAAGGCCTCATCGGGGAACTGACAGTGGGAGGGAAGGGTCCAGGCTGGGCAGAGAGCTCAGGAGAAAGGGGACAGAGACCGGATAGGGAGGGAAGGGAAGGGGCTCAGGGATAGGCTGACAGCATGGCAAGGAGGGGTGCTCACTGCAAAACAGGTCCCGGCGCAGAGGGGACGGGTGAACACAGGCCCACGGGCCCAGCAGGCCTTGCCGCCCACTTCCGTCCAGGCCTTGCTGCAGCCGCCGCTTGGTCTCCCGTAGCTGGTACTTGTCCTGGGGCCGTGGTGGCAGCATAGGATCCCTGGGCCGCAGTCGGAAAGCTCCTTCACCTCTCCTGCGGGGCCAGGAGCAGGGGAGAGGCTGGCGGTGGATGCGCTCAGGCATAGGCCCCGAAGAGGATGCATTTTCAGGCTCAGGGACCCCAGGCTCCTGGGGCAGCTGGCCTGTCCCGACCAGGCCTGCCCTGCCTGCCCCTCACCCTGTCCCCACCTCTCACAGGTGTAGCATTCACAGTGCTCGTTCTTTTCGCCGAAGAAGCCCTCGCCATAGAAGCATGTCACCTCGTCCCCTGGCTCGATGTCCCGGAGCACTTTCACACAGGCTGCATTCCCATCTGCGGGCACAAACTGGGGCCATGCCCACTCAGCACCTCACAAGGGCAGAGGCTACCCTGCTCTCCCACCTGCTGGGCACCCTGGCCCCAAGGGTCCTCTCCTGGGTCAGGGCAACAGGTGAGCCCCCAAGCAGCACCATTCGGAGGGGCTGCCCTGCCGAGGGCCTGTCCTCCACTGGCAGCGCCTAGACGATCTGCCCCTTGGCTGGCTTCCACCCCTCCCTGCAGGACGATGATCTAACCTAACCTCCTGGCAGCGTGCAGTGCCAGCAGCAGTGACCACTCCCTCCTGTGCTCTTTCTCCGGCTTCTACAGCCACGTGCCAAGCTCCACCTCCTCCAGCACACCCGGAGCCCATCCCCTCCCAAGCTGCCCACTCTCTGCCAGCCTGTGCCTTGGCAGCCGAGGTCGAGCTCTGCTCGCCTCGGGCTGCTTCCCCTCCTGGGGCCTGCCTCCACCCCACACTCCAGCCCTGCCTTTGGGATCGCTAGCCTGTTGGCTGCCCCACAAACCCCTCATGCTCGTCATCTTCCCCTCATGCCTGCACCTGCCTCCCTGCTCTCCCCCCAGGAGAGGGCATGACCACTGTCTATCTGTCTGTCTGTCCATCCATCTACTCGAGCCTAACGCTCACCTGGGAGTGGCCCTCACAATCTACCTGCCTGAAGGCCCCCAGACCAACTGGCAAGCACCTCCTGAGCACGTCACCTCCTGCATCCTGTCCTCCTCTGGTCCCCAGGACCTGGAGTCAGCCCCTCATCACCTCTCCACTTCCTGTCCAGCCTCCAGCATACCACCTGCCTGATCTAAAAAAACCAAGCGTCCCACCACGCACCCAGGTGGGAGCTCCCATAGCTGCCTGGCCTGCCCCTTGAGGCCCTGGCGCCCACCCCAAGCCATCTTGGGCACCCCGGCCCTCTGGCATGCCATGTCCTGCCTGGGATGCCCTCCTGCACCCTGACATCCTCCAACACCCAGCAAGCCATCACTTCTGTGAAGCCTGACAGTTTTGGCTCACTGGAGTGTGGCTGGCCTCTCTTGTCCCCTAGGTGGCCACTTCCCAGAGCCTCAGGAATGTTGCCTTTTGCTTTCTGTTCCACCCAACATCTGTGTGCGGGGCCAGACAAGGGTACATAGTATTTGTCCCAAAATCAGTCTGCAGCCTCAGGTGGCACCACCTGCCCCTCACCACCATCCCAGGAGGTGAAGATTCTCACCAAACCTGTCTGGGACAAGAAACCCAAAGCCAGGGCAGCACAGCCAGTACTCAAACCCAGTTCTGACTCTGGAGCTGAAGCCCTGCACCCTCCTAGTCACACCTACTGAAGGCCGGTGAGGTCCGCACTCCCACGGTGCACACTCAAGGCCTTCCTGGGGCAGGCTACCCTCAACCCCCCTGCTCTGCCCCACAGGACCACCATGGTGCCTCCTCGGCCGGCTGCTCCCCCTGCTCTGCCTGGAGAATGTCCTAAGTCCCGGACCTTGGGGCTCACCTCAGGTAGCATGAACCAGCCCCTCTCCAGCTCTGCCATGGCTCTTTGTACCGTCTCCCGTGAGGCCGGGGCCTCTGGGGCACGGGGACCTAGCGGCCACTTTCTGTCTCCTTATCACCACACTCCCTGCTCATATTGGCATAGCTCCCAGCTGGGTTTCAGAAAAGAAAGATCACCACCAGCAGCTGGCAACCTGGGTCTCAGTGTGACTGTGCAAACGGCCAGGCGACACTGGCCAAGCTAAAGCCTCTTCCTCCTTTCCTGACAGCCTCAGGAACATCACACACTCTGACCATTACAAGGGGCTGCGGGGGGAGCAGAAACTGCTTTGGTAAGTGGGAAGCCATGGAGACGAGTGACAGCTTCCGGCTCTTTATTGAGCAGAAATCCCTTCCCTGGGCCCAGGCATTCTTACTTCCCAAGTGCCCACTCCTCCGGGTGTCCCTGTCTCACCTTGCAGTTGGGTTTGCAGTCTGCAGCCAGTCGGGGGCGGGGCGGGGGAGAGAAGAGGAGGAGGATCTGAGTGTTCAGAGCCCCTCCCATCCCGCCCTCTGGCCCCACCCCCGTTCCTGTGGCCCCACCCTCAGGCCCGCCCAGGCCCCTCCCATCCGCCCCGCCCCTCCGACGGCCTGGCCCTCACCGTGGTTGATGAAGGCCGCAGGGCCGAGCCACAGCTGGGCACTCCGCTTGCGGGTAGAGTACATGATGCTGAAGTCGTTCTCTCCGGCCCTCAGCAGCCCCTCATCCGCCTCCCGCAGCTCGGCGATGCAGCCCACCAGCAGCTCCAGCTTCTCGTTCTTCTTCCTGCCAAGAGGCCAGGGCGTGCGGGGCTGTGAGCGCCGCTTCCCATAGGCGTCAGGAGCCTCTGGCACAGGAGCGCGGGGGAGCAGGCCTCCTGCGAGCGGGACCTAGGGGCGGTGCCGGCCATTGGCCTCCGCCTCCCTGATTCTCTCTTACCTCCCCTCCAGGACCCTTCTGCTGAAAGCCTCCAGGACAGCACACGCAGCCCGGCTAGCCCTGGGGCTCCCATTCTCTCCCCTGCTCTCATTCATTGCCTCCTGCCCGGACTCCCCACACACACCTTGCTACACCCTCCGGTTTGTCCCTGTGAGTTCTCTGGGCACTCCCTGGCCAGCCCCGCCCCGCCCCCCTCCCCACCCCACCCCCCAACAGCTGTGATCAGTAACCACACGTTGACTTGGCTGCCACCCGCCTCCCCCCATGGCTGCATCCGCAGGGGTAGGCACGGGTGTCCCTCCCTGCACCCAGTGGTGCTTGGTGCACAGTGGGGGCTCAGGTCAGGATGTATTATAGATAGGACAGCAGCCTGAGCACAGCCTAGTTCTTTCCTGGCAGCCCCAGGAACCCTGGGGTCGCTTCTGGGGTCGTGTCCTCCAGTGGCACTATGGTGGGCAGCAAGGGCCTTCTGGCCCTGGCCTTCCTGCACTGCCTGGACCAGGCCCTCTCTCTTCTGGGTCAGCCAGCCCATGAACACGAGGATCTTTCTCCCATCCCCTCTGAGTCTTGTCTCCGCCAATAGGACAGGGTCTCCTCCCCAGCAGTCCCTGAGGGAGTCCTGCTCTCTTACCAAGCACGGGTGGACACGATCTTGGCCCCATTGGTCTCCATGGAGTAGCGGGTGCAGGGCAGGATGGTGAAGCCACTTTCTGGCAGGAAGACACGGAGGTAGCGATAGACCTGGTGACAGTCAGGAGTGAGCGGTGAGGAGGTGGAGCAGGGACGTCTTTGGCCCCCTCTCTCCGGAGCTCTAGGCCTGCTGTGCCACTGACTCACTGTGTGCTCTCGGGGCCTCACGTCCCCTCTTAGGGCCTCAGTTTCCTCATCTGTCAAATGAAGAGGTTGGACTCCATCTCAGAGGGCCCCCCCAACTCTCCTCTCCTAGGATTCTCTGAGCCTTGCCTCAGATGGTCCCAAGGGCTAGGAAGTCAGGGGGCCCAAGGGGATGCACTGAGGGGCTCTAGGGTGTCTGCCAGGCGGGGCCAGCCCAGGTGAACAGGGAGGACACGCGGCAAGGGTGGGGGAAAGGAGGGCTCCCTCACGTGGGTCTTGAGGGCAGCCTCCTGCCGCGGGCCCCGGCTCTGGAAGTAGTGGGCCATCCAGCCTCCCAGTGTCAGGGCCCGGTACGCAGCCTCCAGGTCCCGCTGCCTCAGGAAAGCTTCCAGCGCTGAGCGCAGGTGGTGCTGTCGCCGCAGGGGGGGCACGGGGCTGGGGGAGAGGGCACGCCTGGGTCCCAGGGCCTTCCCGGGCCCCGCCCCCAACCCCCACTTGGAGCTGAGGGGAAGACTGGGCTGAGGGGGGTGGCAGTGCAAGGAGAGGGGTCCCTAACCCCCTCGGGGCCCACCTTTGCCCCCAGACCCCCTCACCTGATGTTCATTTTATGGGTGCGGAAGCCGAGGTAGGGGTCCAGGACAAGGCTGGTGGCCAGGTCATCGTTCTCGCACAGTTCTCGGGCTGTCACTCTGTCAGGCCCCATGGTGCCCTGCGGACCATACTGCCTCTGGCAGAGAGCAGGGAGCTCGTGAGGACAAAGCAGGGGCAGGGCCAGGGAGCCAGGCCTTGTGCTTGCCCCTGTGCCACTTAGGAGATGTGTGTGTCTCTGGCAAGCCCTGCAGTTTCATCTATAAAATGGGGAGAAAAGCAATACTGACTTCGCAGGGAGTTCGGCAGAGATGAAGTGCAACAAGTACTTCTGACAGTGGGGAACCCCACAAGAAATGACAGCCACCAACATTAGTATCTCCCTCCCCACACGCTCTGCAGCGCAGACACAGATCCCCCAAACACACACAACCTGTATGTGCACACACGTGCACATGCATGCACAGGCAGCCAGCCACCCCACACACATGCTCACTGACTGCCTGACACACAAGACACCCCCACCTGTGTGCACACGCAGATTCTCACACCCCCCCCCACGTGTGCATGCGCAGAGACAAGTCCCTGTGGGCCCAGGGAAGGCTGACTAATTGGCAGTCTGGGATAACCCTAAAGGCTTAGCACTGTGGGGAGCAACTCCACCTCTAGGAAAAATCAAAGCTTTCTGCCTGCCCTCTCTCCCCAGCAGGCCTCAGCAGGCCTCAGGAGTGGTCAGGAGGCTCTGGGTGAAGCCCCAGGCAGCCTGGAGGGGTAGAGGGGAGGGAGAGTGGAGAAGGAGGAGGGGTCCTGGCACCTGCTCCTTCTCCAAGGATTCCAGTTGTGGGGGGCTCATAGGACAAAAGCAGGAGTAAGGGGAGAGAAAAAGAACAGTATGCAGAGGCAGAACAGGTAAAAAAATTGTTTAAAAATTTTAAAAAGAGGAGCAAGAAGAGAGAAAACAAAGAGATTAAGACAAAATAAACAAACCCCTACCACTGACAGAGGGCCTGCCGTGTATCCACACCATGGCGCTTCAGGCCCATCTGCACCCTGGGAGAGGAGTAGATGGGGACTGGCAGGGAGTGGGGAGCTGCAGAGACATCAGGAAAAGCTAGAGCTGTTGGGAGAGGGGTCTGGAAAGCTGGAGGTAAATAAAGTGGGGACGCTAGGGAGGGAGTGGAAGCTGGAGAGGGGTCTGTGAGTAAAGACAAAAACACATAGAGATGGGCATAGAAGGCGACTGTGGAAGGACATCAGCTACAGACCAGGGACTGGGGCGCTCCGCTTTGAGGGATTTGCAGAAAGACTGGGTTGGGGGGGAGGTGCCAGGGAGGACAGTGAGAGCTGGGGGAGAGCCTGGGGACCCAGGGAAGTGCCTAGAAAAGTCAGGGGGAAACCTGGGGTCCAGAGACAGCAAGGAAGGGCCTGGGTATCCAGAGAGGGTCCTACAGAACCAGACGGGGCCTGGGGAGGGAGGTACTGGGGGATCCTGTGAGGAGAGAACCTAGGGAAGGGCCTGGGGTTCCAAGGAGGGGCCAGGGAAGGCAAAGAAAAGCCTGGCGAAGGCCTGAGGGGCCAGAGACGGGCCAGGAAAGTGAGAGAGGTCAGGGAAAGACAGGAAGAGGCCTGGGGGTACGGAGAGAGTCCTGGAGTGTACAGAGGGAGGCCTGGGAGTGCAGGGAGAAGCCTGTCTGGGGGTGCAGTGAGGACTGAGTGGTGCAAGGAGGCCTGGGGGTGCACGGAGAAGCCTAGGGGCACAGAGGGAGGCCTGTTGGGGGTTGCAAGAAGAGGCATGGGGGTGAGAGAGGAGTCAGGGAGAGGCTCTGGGGGTGCAAGCAGAAGCCTGGAGGGTGAGAAAGGCCCTAGGGGTGCAGGGAGTGACCTCGGGGGAGGGTGACAGAGGAGTCAGGGAGAGGCCCTGGTGCAAGGAGAGGCCTGGGTGAGGAACCACAGGGAAGGGGCTGCAGTGCAGACGTGCCCGAGGACCGCCGAGGGTCCGGGAGACGTGGGCGCCAGGACACGAGGAGGGGCCGGGCAGGGTGGGGGGCAGTCGGGGCGGGGGGCGACTGGGAGCCAAGGCGGCGCGGGGCAGGGGTCGTAAGGGGGCTCAGAGGTCGGGCCCCGCGCCGCCCCTCACCCGCTTCTCCTCCTCCTCCTCCTCCTCCTCCTCAGGCACCCGCGCCGCCGCCGCCACAACCTCCCACTGCCTCCTTCAGCTCTCGTCAGACACAGTCGCCGCGCCTCCAGTCTACCCGACGGACCCGCCCCGCCACGGCCATTGTAGGTCCCTATTGGCCAAAGCCGCCGCCACTCCTTCGTTGCTATGGAGTTCACGCCGTTCCCATTGGCCGAGCCCCACGCTTTCCCTCCCCCCACCCTAGTCAGTGCCCCGACAAAACCCCGCCACGCCCCCTCTGCCGTCAAGCACCGCCAACTGCTGCCAGTGGCTCGCATCGCTATCCTTCAGCCGCTGCCATGGAGACGTGTCCTGCCTCCTCAGCAGCTACGGCCCGAAGTCTAGGCCCTCATTGGCCGAGAGCGCCGTCGCTCCGGGCGAAACTCAGGTTGGGTCGGGTTATTCAGGTCCGAGAGGAAAGAGGGCGGGCTCCGTCAGCTTCAGAACTCCTATATTATTGGCTGGCCTTGGGACGGCCCATCTTTCCATTGGCTAAGGCCTCCGCCTGTCACCTTGCCAGTCGCGTCCTCCCCGTTCTCTCGGTTGAAACGTTCAGCTGCTGGAGAGAAGCCGGGACAGCCCGGCGGGAGGAGGTGAATGCGTGCGCACCTCCACGGCCCCCGCCCCGGGAGGCCTGTGGTTGCCAAGACGACAAAACTTTATTGACAGCCCTGCCTGGCTACAAAGAGCTCTTCAATCTTTCTCCCAGTCCACCATCCCTCCCTCCCTCCCCCAGTTAGCCCGTGTCGTTTTGGGAGTACCGGCGAGAACTCTTGGGCTTTCCCGCGATATGCTGGAAAGAGGAGAGACTGAGAATTGGGGGCTTTGGAGTCAAGCCGTAACTCGTGGGGCGCTCCTCTGGGGCACCCTCCCTCTAATTGGGATCCCCCCTGCTTCAGTCCTAGAGGCAAACATAATTAGCAATTCATCATAATTATGCCTAGAATAATAAGCTCCATGGTCAGAACAGGAAGTCTTTGTTTGCTAGTTTGTATCACTACAGTCATGCATTGCTTGATACGATCTGAGAGGTGCGTCCTTAGGCATTTCGTCATTGTGCAGACATCATAGAGTGCACTTACACAAACCCAGATGGTACAGCCTACTGCACACCTAGGCTACATGCTATAGCTCATTGCTCCTAGGCTTCAAACCTGCACGGCATGTTACTGCACTGAATATGTGGGCAGCTGTAACACAATGGTATAGAAAAGGTATAGTAAAAATACTTTATTATAATCTTATGGGACTACAGCACCACCGTCGTCGTATGGTCATTGTTGACTGAAACGTCGTTTTGTAGCACATGACCATATAGCTATATATCTTGTGTGCTTCGAACAATGCATGGCACAGAGTAGGCGCCTCGTTAATATGTATTGAATAAATGTATGAATGACCAACCAATGAGGATGAGGCTGATGGTTTGCGCATTGCTTTGTGACTTTGGGGAACTGGCTTTCTGTCTTGGGGCTTCAGGCTCCATCTACAAAACAAAGACCACACACTGGTTTGGCTTCCAGCTTCCCATTGTTTGTGCAATTCCTTCTCCAACTAGGACTACCCCCCCCTTTCATCTCCCTAATCTCTCCTGAGTTTTGAAATAACCACCGCCCCCAGCCCAGGCATCTGTCCCACTAAAAGGAACACACCTTTCTAGGGACCATCAATTTGGCCAGGTGCTTTCTGGCAGAGGGAAATCAGGCCTGGGGACTTGCCCTGGAGCAGCCCTCAGTCTAGTGAGGAGACAGAGACAACAGAGACAAAGAGGTGGCCTCTCCAGGGCAGGGTCTCACTGGTCATCAACCGGACCAGAAACACATGACAGGCTCCTGAGGAGAGAAGGGGAGACAGCAAGCATAAAGGACTCCATAAAAAGCTCAGGTGTCAGGAAAAGTCCTATTGGTATGTATGAATCTTAAAAGTACAGTCCCTCTACTAATGGGTGGGTGTGTACACCCTAAAGTCTCCCACATGGAACAAAAAGATAAGCACAAGAATGTTCACCATGGTAATGCTTCTAACAGGGAGAAACTGGAAATGGCCTCAGTATTCATTACATGAAGAATGGACAAACGGATCATGATATATTCATACAGGGTAACATCATAGGTCAGTGAAAGTAGATGAAACAGCACTCCATGTATTACCCTGGACAACTCTAGAACACAATGTTGCCAGCTATAGAAATCTACAATGCCATTTACATGAAGGTTTAAAACTCATAAAATAAGGGTTGCACATGGATACATGTTGCAAAAAGATACAAATATGTGAGGGCATAATAAACACAGAATGGGGGGCGCAGGGGTGATCCCTGAAACCAGGAGGAAAGAATGCAATCAGGAAAGCCATGGAGGACATTGTTATTTGTAATATTTTGTTTGTTTGTTTGTTTCTAAAGCCCTGAGGTAGAAACCACAAATTTATTATGGGCTGGGCAAGGTGGCTCATGCCTGTAATCCTAGCACTCTGGGAGGCTGAGGCCAGGCAGGAGGATTGCTCCAGGTCAGGAGTTCTAGACCAGCCTGAGCAAGAGGGAGATCCCGTCTCTACTAAAAATAGAAAGAATTTAGCTGGATAACTACAAATATATAGAAAAAAAATTAGCTGGGCATGGTGGCACATGCCTGTATCCCAACTACTCGGGAGGCTGAGGCAGTAGGATCACTTGAGCCCAAGAGTTTGAGGTTGCTGTGAGCTAGACTGACACCACGGCATTCACTCTAGCCTGGACAACAAAGTGAGACTCTGTTACAATAAGCAAACAAATAAATAAATAAATAAATAAAATAGTTAAATGATAAATTTGATGGTATGTGTATTTTACCACACACACACACACACAGACACACAAAGAAGAAAAAAGAGTCACTTTGGGAATGTAGTTTATTTTTATTTTTTATTTTTATTTTTTGAGACAGAGGCTCACTCTGTTGCCCTGGTTAGACTGCCATGGCATCAGCCTAGCTCACAGCAACCTCAAACTTCTGGGCTCAGCCTCCCAAGTAGCTGGGACTACAAGCATGCGCCACCATGCCCGGCGAATTTTTTCTATATATTTTTAGTTGGCCAATTAATTTCTTTCTATTTTTAGTAGAGACGGGGTCTCCCTCTTGCTCAGGCTGGTCTCGAACTCCTGATCTCAAAGGATCCGCCAGCCTCGGCCTCCCAGAGTGCTAGGATTACAGGCGTGAGCCACTGTGCCCAGCCGGGAATGTAGTTAAAATAAGATTCCAAGGCCAGACTCCATAGAGCTTAGTCAAGTATTTAATAATTAGTCATCTTATCTTAGGACTTTACTACTCAAAGTTCAGCCACGTCAGAATGGCATGGGGCCTGGTAGGAATGCAGAATCTCGGGCTGCAGCCCAGATACTCTAAATGCGAATCACCCAGAGGGCTGATCTGAATGCTCTGGAATGTTTGTAAAGCCTCACCTTAGAAGATACCTTTGCAGGTGGTTTCCCTGGACCACACACTCACACACTTGTGACTCCCAAGGTGGCTTATTTTATGTATGTGTGTGTGTGTATACAAGGGCTGTCCAGAAAGTATCCATCCATGTAATATGAAAATTACATATGAACACTGGCTGGATACTCTCCAGACAGCCCTTGTATATGTATTTATTTATTTACTTAGAGATGAGGTCTCCATATGTTCCCCAGGCTGGACTCAAACTCCTGGGCTCAAGCAAGGCTCCTGCCTCAGCCTCCCAAGTAGCTGGGACTACAGGCACCGGACTGCACCAGGCATGCCTTATTATTAAGGGGAAAGGCTTGTTATGAAACAGCAAACTCAGAATGATCATATTTTTGGAGGAAAGGGATATTTGTTTATATGTATATGTAAACTAAGTAGTTAGAGGGGGAGCTGTCTCTCTGTTTTCATGTATTACTTTATAATAACAAAATGTATATAATAGGGGCCAGGCTCAGTGCCTGTAATCCTAGCACTCTAGGAGGCTGAAGTGGGAGGATCTCTCAAGGACAGGAGTTCAAAACCAGCCTGATCAAGAGCGAGACCCTGTCTCTACTAAAAATAGAAAGAAATTAATTGGCCGACTAAAAATATATATAAAAAATTTGCCAGCCATGGTGGCACATGCCTGTAGATCCAGCTACTTGGGAGGCTGAGGCAGGAGGATCGCTTGAGCCCAGGAGTTTGAGGTTGCTGTGAGCTAGGCAGATGCCACGGCACTCTAGCCTGGGCAACAGCATGAGACTCTGTCTCAAAAAAAAATGTATATAATAAAATACATTTATTGCATACTACATATTAATTTTATACATACACATGTATTTATGTGGCTATATCTATATGCATAGACATTTGCATACTCACACACATACACACGTATCTCATTACTCCCCTGCTGAGAATTCCCCAATGAATTGTTATTTTGTGGTAGCCAGCCAACAAGATGGTTCCCAACCACCCCCTCCTCCACTTCTGGGATTCATGTCCTCGTGCAGCTCCTTCCACATCGATTAGGGCAGAGTTGTGTAACCAATATGATATTGCAAAACTGATGGCGTGTCCAAGGCTGAATCATGAAAAACTCTATGGCTTTCATTTTGTTCTCTGGGATCTCCATGTCAAGAGGGCCCTGTGGAGAGAACTGAGACCTCTGGGTTTTCAGACAACAGCCAGAGAGACGGCGCCCCCCCCCCAACGACAGTGGCCAGTTGAGTGAGTGGGCCATCCTGGGAACGCTCCCCCAGTGTCCACCAAGCCTTCAGATGGCCCTGCAGCCCTGTTCCACATCTTGACTGTGATCCTCACTACCGACCCAAAGCCGGAACCACTCAGCTGAGCCCTTCCTGAATTAGTGGCCCATAAAAACCATGTGAGATAAATCTTT